AGTACATCCCAGGCCCCGATTCCCACTTGGACCTGTACCACGGCTCTGTGATTTTCTCCATGGCCCCAACGCGAGCATTGGTGCCGGCGTAAGTCATGATTGGAGACTTGTTGCGACTGACAATGGCAGACTGGGCATTGGCGCAGACGTTTGGCCATCTGCTGTAGTCGCAAGTGAACACAGAATGGTAGAGACCGTTGCTTGGAGGGTTGTTGGGATAGTCAGGGTCGACACCACATGCCGCCTGTCTTCGCTCGAGGGGTGACTGACGCTTAGCTGCAGGACAGCAGGTCTGTGATTTCAAAGCATCGAGAACACTCTGGTCTAGGTCTTTGTCGAGGTTCTTCTGGCACTCAGTCATGTAGTCCGGCGCCTCGTCCGCCGCGTGGTCGCATGACACCGTGAAGGAGAGCGGATCAAAGACGGGATAGTTGCCATTGTGACATGTTCCGGTGGTTGTGATGACATCTTTCTGGCAAACCTGATTCCCTTCAGAATCATAATCAGGCTTCTTGCTTCCGCACGAAGGTCCGATGCAGTCTCCATCTTCACCACTGGTGCCCCCTCCCACGACAGTCCACTCGGGACCGCAGCCGGCGCAGATACCTCCACAACCCAGGATGCCGCATGAGCTACAACCAATAAGACAGATCTTTCCACATCCGACGCTACAGGTTGGCCCTGGCGGGCTGGTGCTTGTGAAGCTGACTTTTGTTGGCTGATTGGTAATGACGGGGTATGTCTTGCTGGCCACGGGGGTTGATGTGATGATGATGACGACAGGATCCTGGGACGTGGTTTTCGTTGCACTGACTTTGGGCGTAAAGGTCACTTTGGCCGTGGGCAGAATGGAAGGTGTGATGGTGTATGTCACTTGATCGACGCCGGAATTGGTGATGTTGATGTTGTAAACGGGGATTTCCGTCGTGGTCACTGGGGGAAAAGTAATAGTAACGACAGTTGTCGTAGTTGTATCGTCATCCCACATTTCTGTAAAGGTCTTCGTGATAGGGGGAAACTCGATCGTCGTCTTATCAGAGAGGGTGTAAGGCGGCAGAACCACCACACAAGGGGGTATGCAGGAGACGATTGGTGTGGGATCGTGCCAGACTGACGGGTTGATATAAACTGGAGGCCCTCCACCCGCGCCCCCATCACCGCTCGTGTCTCTTGAAACACAAGCTCCGGGGGGACAGTAGCCTCTGGGGCAGGCAAAGGCGCAAAGCCCATAGTCCTGAGTGCCTTCCACGGGGCTTCCCGCCACTTCGTCAACGATGGGCGGTGTCTCAACCAAGCCTCCCGTGCTGCCACAAGTACAAATGTTTCTCGGACAAAAACCAAAAGTGCATGCGTAGCTGCAGAGACCTCCGAAATTCCCAGGTCCTGTGCCGCCCGTGCAGGCGGTTGGTGAAAAAGGGGACACTGATGGCGTGGTAAGGGGCCCTGGCACTGTGTCGCAAACACCCTCTGGGCAATATCCTAGGTTGCAGTCAAAGTTGCAGAGTCCGGAAAAGTTTTCGTTGAGACCGGCTGCCGGATAACCGGTGATGCCAGAGGATTTCGGCTTGACTCTCTGCTTTCCCATACTAAGACATGATTAGTATAACTTGCTCAAAGTGAGAAGAAAACAAAAAACTTACGCGGTACAAAGGCAGGCGCCTAACGGGCAATATCCCAGCGAACAAGCATACGAACATAGACCAGAGAAATTGTCGATGGATGTGCCATTGATGCACACCAGGTCGTCCATGGATGTTGGCGTTGGATCGGCGGCAGCACCACCGGTAGCGGATCCGACCCAGGCATTCCAGTTAGCCAGGCCTCCAGCACCGCATTGAGTTGAAATAGCCGAACCAGAGCCAGAGAAACTTGAGCCGCCGCCGCGAGAGATGGTGACAACTACATCGCCGAGGTTCCCATTGAACGGGACGCTGCCGCTGTAGAGCCCAACACCATCTTCGGGGCTCTTTGACCAGGTCCCCGCCTGGGTGACACCACCGATAGTGACCGAAACACTCGCTGACGACCCGAGAACGGCGCTGTAGAATACGCGGTCTTGAGAGACCTCGGTTGGCGCAAACTCGAGTTGGAGCTGCGAGGCCGTGTTGCCTGTCGTCATACCAGAATCGCATGCTGCAGCAGGCTGCTTTCGGTGCCAGAATACTAGCTTCTCGTTGGCGATTGTAGTGGTGTTTCGAACATACATGTCGATAGCGAAAGGTAAGATCTCGCGCCACCCATCATGCGGCATGTCAGCGACGAAGTCGATTGGCGCGCGCCCAGTACGCATGGCCCCGAGGGCTTTGCTCTTGATAGGACCGATGTAGTGAGACTCTCCATAGTCGTTCCATGAAATAATCTCTACCCATTCGGGCTGCACGTAGAGCACCTGGCCCCAGCGGTCAGCCCAAAGACTGTCGCCGCGCCAAAGCCAATTCTTGTCGTACCCAGGGAGATTCGTATAGAACCATGGCGATACCGGCATCATGTAAGGTTTTCCTGACAAGTACGTGATATACGATGCATCCACAAAGGTATCCATGTCTTTGTTGCCCCATGGCCAGGCTGACCAGGCAAAGAGCCCGTCAGCCACGCCACCAGCAAGTTCCATAGCCGGCTTAGCACCTAGCGATGACCAGTCGGGAACAAAATAGCAGTTGGTCTGTGACTTGATGTTGATCCAATAAGAGGCACTGCCTGGTCCTTCGAAGGTTGATACGAACGGCTTATTGTTGTGTAAGAAATGGGCGCTGCTCCCTTTGAACTTGTTCAAAACGGACAGAACGGTCGACGCCGGCCAAGGCCCATTACCAGCATAATCGAACGAGAAGAAGAGCTTAAAACCCGCGCTGCTAGCGGCAGAGAATGCCAGATCGTACTGAGGGCCATCGCCCTGATCGTAGGCCGTGTTGAGGGCAAAAGCATCGATGTGAGCGGCTTGAGCAAGCTTTATCTCGTCTGCCCAGTCACTCAAAGTATAGTTCTGGGCGTTTGACACCTGATGAAAGATGAGAGTGAGTTGAGGTTTCTTAGAACTTGCTTAGTTACACCCAATTGCATCGTTGAACTCACCATGAAATGGGCAAAGACAGCCTTCGCCCTGGCTTGACGAAAAGCCGTCAGCACGAGAGCGAGGACGCAAAGAAAACGCATAATAGTTAAAAATCAAGATTGTGCTTCAAATGATGAGTGAGACTGATAAAGATTTTGCAGGCATAGGTGAGACTCATATCTAAACGAGTAGTAGAAGCTTCTTTATACAAGATGGCCTGTCTGCGCTGAACAAGATGCTATGCCCAAACGCTATGCTTACGATCTTTTTCACACAGCTAGCCCTTCCTGTTACGAAGGTAAGTAGACAGCCTCAAAACGTAGTGTCCTCCGAAATTATCTTTTGGAAGCAGAACATCGTGACTCAAACTGTGCTTACATGCATTTCCATCCATCGTAGCCTGTCATGATCTTTGCGGCGCATTCAAACGGCGAACAGGGGTTTTGTGCCGCTTGAGGTTAGGACGATGTTGAAGAATCGCAACAGCTTCGACCAACAAGACCAACAGGGGGTTTTGGTCAGCCTGAAATATGAACTTGGACGGATAGTCTAGCCGAAATCGCTTCCAACAAGCAACTGGCCCGTCTTGGCGTCGGCCCGGCAGAGCTTGAGGCAATTTAGCGTCACGTTGGTGTAGCAATTCACGCCGTAAACCTGCATACAAAGATTACCCGCGCGAAGAGTTTATGAGGCCATGTGATTGCAATTTGCATTGTGCATGAACTGGAAGTGGCAGGTCAGCCCTTCTAGGGTCTTAATCGCCAACCGCCAAAGTGTTGGTTGGTGCACTTCGCCAAAGCTCATGTTGGATACCATACATCACAGGGTTACATATGGCTGATGACAGTCGGGCCGTGATCCTAATTAAGTAAATCCAGTCAAAAGAACATAGCAGGCAGCAATGTCCTAATGCGACGACCAATATATGCAGGGCTCAACTATCATCGACAGCCCATGGGCAATCCTGCCAGGAACGGTGTTAGCCGCCAGCGATGGGATAGACAGGGGCTGTGTGTCATGCCACTCTCAATTGATCAATCACTCCATAATATCAGTGGTAGAGGCAGCCTGATTTCGGGCTTCTCGATACAATTCGCCCGAAGACACGGCGATAGACGCCCCGTTCATAAAGGCACCTCAACAGTAGCCTGCGCCGTTTGCGATTTTGGTCAAGCGGAACACATCACCAACTTCAGTTCGGTCAGTGACACTAATTTGTCTATGATAATGTCTCTTAGAATCAACCTCTTCGTGTTTTCCGCCTTGTTTGGCATCATCGGATCCTCCCAAGAAGGCACCAATCCCGAAATGCAGCATATTGGGAAAGTCTTGGGAAGTTTCCTTGCCAAAGGACAACTCTTTGTTGAGAATTTGCCTTTACTTTCACTCAAGATTCTCACACTCAATGAAACAACAGTCTCAATACTGGGGAATATTGCCCGACTGTTGTTATGCGCCATGGCAACTCTCTGGCTTTACCAGAAGAAGTCGAGACACGCCATTTTGGAACGATGTCTGTCCCTGGCAATTTGTTTAAGCATTCTCGGAGCCTGTTCAATACTTCAACCAAGACCGCAGACGGACTTTTTGTGGTCTGGGCGCTGCATTGCCGATTTTCTACTCTTCATTGCTGTGTGGAGTGAGCTGAACACAACTGCCGAGCCCGCCACCTTTCAATCTATCATAAGACGCTGCGATTGTCTTCTTGTTTTTTCATCGCTCTTGGGATGCAATATCTTCGATTTGATAACAGCTTCCCTAATAATCTTTCTCCTTCAAACACTCAATTTTTTCAACTCAACAGAGCTATGCCGTAAATCGGATGTACGTATTCAACTTCTGCTCTGCGATTAGATCCCTGCTTAACATGCAACCGTAGGCGACTGTGATGTCGACTCTCATGTGTAGAGCAGTTCAAAGCATTGTCCAGCCGATGGCGATTTGGATAATGGTTACTGGTATTCTCTCTCCAATTTCAGAGATCTCAGCTGGAGGCAATTACAATACGCGCTTTCTGTCTCCAAGGGCAAGGCGAGCTCTTTCCCCAATCAGCGAGAGCGTAAAAATTCCCAACTGGGGAAATTATAGTCTGCCACCTCATGCTATCATCCCCTACGTTCCTTTGTCTTTGTACCTCCCTCGAGCTGGGTTTCTGTGGCAGGACGATGAAGTTTGGCTACCAGAGCAGGGAAACTTTGGCGCAGAATGGCAGCTCAATCAAGAAGAAGCTTGGGCTGAATTCCATGACTTAGAACAAGTAGGCTCTGGATACAGTGTCGAGACACTATATCGGGCCTACTTTTCCGACCCCATCGGGAGGCGCCACCCATGGGCGTTTGAGCAAGACATCGCCGCAGATGTGTTTGAATCGAAAGAGGAGGATTACATACGTAGCCATTTATGGTCCGGTGAGATCGTTCATCTCCGAAGCCGAGTAACGCAACACTATATGGGTGTCGTGGGCGACGCAAGCTCTTATATTGACGAAGAGATGAACGTTCGATCGGAAGATGGATTCCGGCGTTTGAGAGTTGGGTAAGTCTTCGATCCGGACAATACTGGATACTGAACTAACGACATTGTATTACAGTGGCTTGAAGACGAAATCCCCAAACACAACGTGGATCATTCAGTACAACTCTGGCGTTGATAATGGGTTCCGTCTCCTAAATCCCATCCAAGACTGTTATCTGTCGTCAAGCTTTCGGCAATTCCCAAATTGGGATGGCCTTCACAGTAATGACACGGTCAGTCTGCAACTGCACGGCATCATTGAAGCTACTTGTACCCGTGGAGCTTCAAAGGATGCATCTACATTCTTCATTATTGAGGGTTAGTGCCCCTCAGCTGGAACGATCTTGAGATCTCATGAATGACATTGTTTTAGGTACATCAAAGGCCCCGACCAGGTCTTGGCGAGCTGTCTGTGGTCAGATTCCCGGAGTCCAGAGAGTCATTGACGCTTTCTCAATGGGCTTTCATGTTGCGATGGGGTTGCTTTCTCTACAGAGAACCCGAAGATTATACGGTAAAACGTTAGACATACCTCCAGCACTGCTGCGCAATGAGTTGAGCGCTGTTCCATTATTCCAGACGCTTGAGAAGGCACTCGTTGCTACATTTCTTTTTTCGCATGCTGTTCTGCTTCTCAAGAAGCGGAGATGGCCGGCACAAACAGCGGATAATGTCACGCAAGGGTCACTGAGCGGGAGAAGACAGTCTCATCTGTCAAAATTGACATCGTGTGCTATTTTCGTCTGGGGTCATTTTATGGCATACTACGTGGGCAATATTGCGCGTCCCTCCGGCGCCACATTGGTCATGATATTTTCTGTCGTTGGTCTAAGCGAGATTGTTGTCGTATTCTGAGCATCGGTTCTTTCTCGAGTTACAGACCGCTCCATTACTAGAGTAGATAATCGAAGACTGCAGCTGGTATTCTCCCATATTGAATCAATTTTAGTTAGTAAACTCTGGGGGGAACCCGTAACGAACGTCTATGGAGATTCATTGGTGGAAACCGGAATCGGCACGAGGAATTCGAACTTCAATTAGACATGCGCTGAACTCCCGTTCCCGTTGGAAACCCCTTGTCGTGCCGAACGTCCTTTCTTGGCGGCACGGGCGGCAAAGCTGTCAGACACATTGCAGGAACGATAACACCTTCCAAATCCATACTAGTCAATGTTATGTCTGCCTGGCTCAAGTGGAGTTGCTCGGTGTCAAAGTCCGAAGCCTTCACAAAGCCTGCTGGATGTGTTGGTTCCTTGCAGATCGCCTATCAATCACGATCAACAGAACAATGCCATTATCGGTAATTATGTTTACGATGCATTATCCTGCAGGTGTAATATCCAGTATATGTAAGAAGGAGATAGCGCGCTCGCGTAAACGTATTCGTTGGCTTTGCTTTTAACACGAGGCATTTCCCCCATCAAACAAGGTAATTTTTGTCTGGCATCTCTCACCTTTTACCGAGCGAGCTGCACCAGCATTAACGAACACTCGCCGTATTATTTGCTGAAAGTGGGAACGTCTCTGGCTTGTACATCAATTTCGACAGATCTTGATCAGGTTAAGGCCATGTACTCAACGCGCGAGGACATTAAGGCTGCTGTTGATGCGTATCGTGCACACATCGCTGAACGCAATCGCCGAGCCCTTGAAGTCTACGGTGCGTGAAAATCACATCATGGAAACGTTTGAAGAATAAGACTGATGCAGAGGATCTAGTGCAACTTGCCACACAGGCTGAGCTCGACCCAGAAGATTGGGGAGATGAAGCCGAAGACATGAGGGTAGACTGTTTTGGTAGCGTCCTGAGTCGGAATGATGCCCGGACCCTGATTTCAAGTCCAGAAGATATGCTCACAAAGTTTGATGAACTCGCACCGCTTTGCGACCTTGACGGTTGTGGAGGGTCTATTCCCAACAGCCATGACCGAGAGCTGTACTTCTCCCGTCTGGAGAGCGCGCTGAAGACGAAATGTCTCGAGGAAGTCCGTGATAGCATCACTGCTCCTCCAGAGCTTCGAATTCTTGCAGAGTACGTGGGCGCATTGACCGGACCCGGGATGGGGGAGACCAAATGGACGTATCAGGCCGTATTCTGGACTGGGGCGAGCTCTCAGACGGAATCTTTGATCGACGCTACGGTTAAGAGACCCCAGGACCTTTCAGTTGATGGTTGTTGGGACGTCGCTGTGGGATGGGAGTCTGGGGACGGCGTGGAGAGTTTCTTTTACATAGTCTACTGCCGAAAAACCCGGGCCGACGGAGAAGTCGAGCCGTGGGCCTGGCGATACATGGCTTATGGCCCGGACGACGACAAGACCTTTGATACGATCCCGGAGTTGCTCGAGTGGTATTGTCAGTATCGGGAAAGAGAGGTGCCTGATATTGATGACTTAAGCGTGGACGATGTACTAGAAGGGAACATGTACTAGCTGGAGTACATACTATATCCTAGGTCCAGCACCTGTAGTTCTGATTTGCTTTGTTACAGCCGTCAGCGATAGATCTTGTTCACCTGTGCAGTCTAGTACAGATTCTTTCTTCACACCATCGAAAGTCTCATCGAAAGTGGCTGATTAAAGGCCTGAAGCGTCATTTCCGAAGGAACGAATGTCATTGGGTAACCCAGCACGAAGTTGGATTTTCATCCAGATACCATCGTCATAACCATCGTATTCGGGTCTACGAAGCAATCGACGACCTACTCTACTTCTCAGTCGCGGATGTCCCAAGGCTCTGTAAGAAATTGGTCTACTTGAAATCTCGATGATGTACCAGGTTGTTCGAGGTGTGAACGATGGAAGGGGGACATCTGCATGGCGTAAGGAAATGTGATGTAAGGGGTTCAAGGAATAGTCTGTAGATCATGTCACTCTGGAGAAATGACCGTTGATAATGTGGGGAACTCCGTTTCCGTGTTGTCTCTTTTGGGAAACTGTCATATTTTTGGCCACAGTATCACAAGCAGCTGGTGCGCAGCTTCCCTCGGCAAGAGGCTCATTAGTCACTACAGGGGGTTAGAACTCAGTGATGTGTCGCGAACTAATGGCGTGAGCTTCTTCTTCAGCCTTACAACTTCGTCATCAAATCAATTCATGAGAAGTGACCATTGTGAAAAAGGTCTCGATGGACACTTGTAACAAGAATTATGGTATCATGTGTTGCAAAAGCCTGTCTTAAGATTTGTGAGGCAACAACTCTCACATCAGGAAATTGACCATGCCAGCCTGTACGCATACAGACGGAGATACACGTAGCGAGAGTCTCTATAACCCTGTGAGGCAATCTCTTGACTTGATTGAATCTTCAAACTTGGAAAAAACCTTTGGATTACTCTCTCAACAAATGTCTCTAGGTCTTCAGGCGAAACTGAAAGCATCGTCATTCGAACAGATATTGGGTGCAACTTGAATCACTTTGATACAGTGGCGACAACATCGACCAAAATCCAACTAGAAAATCCGCAAAAGATAAATCTGAAAATCGGCTACGGATGCCGTTCAAAACCAAGATTATCGAAAAAGTGTGGCATCACGACACATCGGGTAGTAGCATCTTCACACGCTCGGTCGTTCGTGGTGGATGGTCAAGAATTCCAGACGATCATGGCAGAATTTCTGACACCAGCAAACTCGCGGCCCAAATTCTCCCAGCTCACTACAGCTATCACATCATGCACATTTCCAGAAAGTCCTTGGACATTCGTTCGGCAACTTCTGCCGTAAAGGGGTGAGAGGTGGGCACACTTGTCAATGGGAGGTCTCCCGGAAAGACGTGCATCCTTTAAAAGCTTAACGGTGGATGCTTTTTCTGCTGAACTGACGTTGAAATACGGCAGCAGTTTACCTTTGTAATGCGGATAATGCAGGACCACCCTAGGCCAAGATCTGCAAGATGTGCACTAGACCAGCACACCAATGCTGCCCAGCAGGTCTGCACGTCCTTTCGGCTCCGTTCTACGATACGGGTACGAAAACGTCGGAGAAATGATTCGACCACGTTGAACGACGGGAGGAGCAAGAGGACAAGGGGGGCTTGAGTATTGTAGAGTTTGGCAGACAGCCCAATCCCGGCCTCGCCTGGCGAGGAAGCGTGGGTATCGTTGGGAAACGCACCGTTATATGCTATGCCGCTTGTCGCAAGCTTAGGCAACATGATATGCATAGCGGAACGTTGCCGATAACTTTCCACGAGAGCCAACCGATTCATTAGATGTTAATGCGACCGCCCCGGCGCGGGCATGACGTTAGTTTCTCATCGAATGCCCGTTGCGGTAAGACCCTCGTCGCGGAGCGACAAGCCACAACCCTGAAACTCCCAGACAACTCAGCGCCGTTGGGCCACCACCTTGCCTGCGCGCAGGTAATATGCAACATGTTCTACTGCTTGGGAATCTTCACGAGCCGTTGGCCGTTGCAGCGATTATTATGCTTGTGGATAGTATCCCTTGGACGACTGCGGTTATCGCACCGTTGAGGCTTTCAAGATTCATCCCAGCGTTTCATCCCAAAGATGCTTGTCTATCGGGACGTTTTATGACGTACTGACAGGTTCCGCAATCGAAAAAGTTTCTCGATGCCCGTGGAGAGCATATTAAGGGTGAGGTAGGGCCCGAGTCAGAACTATGGAGGTGGAAAATGAGGTTTGAGAGAATCATAAAAGTTCTTTGACACCCTGCATCGAAGCCCATTTTAAATGTCACGTTAAACGCCACAACTTTACTATTAACTACTACTGTAATTGAAAAGTCAACAAACGAATTACCATAATGCTCGGCATCGGAGGCCGGCTATCTGCCATCGTTCCCATTATTGCTTCGGCTGTCGCTGTCGCACTTTCTATTGTGCTGCTTGCAGCTGGGACAAACACAAGTAATGGAGGCAACAACTACTGGTTGTCAGTAAGTCGCGACTGTTTCGCAAATGCTGAAGAAAGAAACAGTTTACTAATTTGACATCGTAGCTAAACACATCGAAAATCGGTCAAGACATTGTTCAAATCAAGGCAGCCAACAACACCAACGGCGGAAATGGAGGCGGCAGCATTATCCCGGGCATCCCCGCACCCAACGATCCGACCGGCATCACGGAGGGCCTCGGGAGTGTTCTGGGAGGTTTGCTTGGTAACTTGACGAACGCAGTTGGTGATGGTGTTTCGGATATCCAGGGCCAGCTTGTGGGAAACTTGACGCAGCTGTTGGGCGTCAAGGACAACTACCGGCTCTACCTGACAAAGATGTGCGAAGCGACCTACGCCAATGACAACGACCCGAACAGCAAAGTCACTTTTGACAAATGCGAAAGCTACGATAACACAGGAGCTG